TGTTCCTGATCGTCCATGAAGCCCACAATAAAGTTGCAAAAATCAGTAATTCGCTCCTAGTCATTTGAGAAAGAAATAATGCCTGTTCTTTTAACCTCCGAGGAACGGAGGGACTTCTGTTTGAGATGTGTGGTTTTAGATTCTACGAGTTTTGGGATGTTGATAATTGCATATTTGTCCATATTTTTACTCCCTTATTCTATAGTCGTCTTTTATTCGTTAAATGGAGTTATTATTACTAATTGAACTTAATTACTATGTTTTGATGTTGTTAGGTGACATGGGCTAGGGTTACAATTGGAGCAAATAATTTCCACTAACCCACCCTTTTCCAGAAAAACTGCACTATTTCTTTCTCTTATTATTTTTGCTTACCTTTTTTTTTTCTTCTCATCAGACATGGAAGGAAATCAAATTTATGTCTCCAACAAATTGTGAAATACCATAAAATCAATTATTCAAAGCAATTTTCCCCAAAGTAAGCACAAATTATGCTTATTGGAGATACAAAATTGATAATATGGAAAGTAAGGAAATTGGCAATCGGTCAATTTCATTTATCACTCAGCAAATTTTGGATCTATTTTACAGTTTTTTTTTTCTTTTTGTTGAAGCCACTTATTAGCCTATTACTCTTAAAACCCGGTTCACATTGATTTATTGTAGACCATTAGTAGAAAAGATACTATGGTCGTTCAACTAATGGTCACTATGTTAAAATAAAGGTTATTATGTTAAAATAAAGTGATTGTGTTTTTATAAAGGTCATAAGAGATTATATTTTTAATGAAAATTTTAAAATACCGGTCAATATGAATAATAAAGGTCACTAGGTTAAAATTAGGGTCACTATATTCAACATAATGTCATACTTCAAATTTGCAATAATATTAAAAATCACACAAGTTTTAATAAAGGTTACTATGTTAAAATTAAGGTTACTATATTTAATATTAGGGTCACTATGTTCAATATAAAGTCAGTTGCATACGTATAGACCCTCAAGTCCGCAATAATATTATTGTGAACCAAATCCACACAAGTTTTTCTGCTTATTAGCCTACTTTTAATTATCTTTTCCTTTCTCTTGCCCCTGCTTCTTTCTCACTAGATCGACTTGATATGACTATGTACTGAAGTTTTCATCATGCATTAGACTATCAACGGCTAGAAAAAAAAAAGAAAAAAAAATAAAATCAAAGGCTTACAAGGAGTTGGAAAGAATACTGTTTCTGCAAAGTTAGCCTTTTATCTTTATGCTTTTTGTGAACTCGTGATGCAAAAGTGATGAATGTTCAAAGAGAAAACTTGCTATTGAAATTTAATATGGTGAATTGAGCTATTTCATTTCTGACATGACGGGACCAAACCAGATGAGTTAATAATATTAGATTTATTAGTTACCATAAACTCACATTATTTCATTAGATGGATTTTTGGACTCATACATCTTTTGAATTAGTTACCTCTTCCCTCAAGACTATCTTAGGTAATTTATTTTATACAAACCTTTAAACTGTCTGATAATTATTGATAGATACAGAGTTTGTAGTAACATGCTTCTCATTCTCATGTGAAAGTGATCAAATCTGGAGAAGTTGGTTGTTTCTTGAATTTATCATGTATTTAGAATCTTTCCCAGGTAATGTTAAAAATGAAGATCTTTCTCATGCGACTATTTATATTAAATAGGTATTTTAAATTAGTAGCATCATGGATCCTTTTGAGTTTTGTTGAAATAAAGGAAGGAATCCAAAATAGCCTGACTCGGGCGTCCGATCGGGCGCGAGAAGGGTCGTAGTTCCTGAGTTCTGTCGCCCGATCGGGCGCGAGAGGATGCTTGGAAAATGAAGGTGTGTTCGCTCGACTAGGCGAGCTCCGCCCGACCGGGCCCGAGAGCAGCCAATCTTTTGGCTGGATGCTCGCCCGACCGGGCGCGGGTTCGGTTGTTGGTTTGCCTAGCTTCCTTGGATTCTTTTTCTTCTTCAATCACTTGTAACCCCTCACTTAAGAGGTGTTTATGATGATTAAAACACATGTTTTTACTTCTGATTCTTTTCACCTTTTCACTTCCTCTTGATCTTCCATCTTCCCTCTTTGTTCTATATATATTTTGTGATCAGATTTTCTAGCGTGACACAAGAAACAACTCATTCACAAGTAGCCAAAACACATTAAGCTAAACACAACTCTATTTCACTTTGGGCATAAGTTTGCGTAGACTCCACCTCTCATTCTAAAGTGCCTTAGCGTGAGAGTGGTGTGTAACCTTAGGGGACGATCCGGCGAATACAATTGAGCACCCCAGTTGCGCCGGAATTTGTTTTCATAGGCAGTGATTATTCACGCCACACCGAATTTCCTTCTTTTATTTTGTTCTTGTTCCATTGTTGCTTTTGTTTTAGACACCAATTTCACAACAATTTTGAAAACGAATTATGTCTATTACAAGTAGTATTTTGAACAAGACTCTTCCCGACCTCTCTAAGTTGGAACCGCTTGATGGTAACAATTATAAGAGGTGGTCAAAAAAATTGCTAATCTTTTTTGAACAATTGGAAGTTGACTATGTGTTGATTGAAGATGTCATTGAGACCCTCAAGAATGCGGAAGAAGCTGCCAAGACCGCTACTGAGGCAGTCCCGGCGGCCATAACGGAAGCCTTGAAGAAGAAGGAGAAGGACAACAAGCTTGTTCGTGGCCATCTCCTCAACCACATGAATAATACTTTGTTTGATTTGTTTGTTAATTTCAGATCAAGCAAGATAATATGGGATTCCTTAGAGAAGAAATATGGATCGGATGATGCCGGTAAAAAGAAGTACGTGGTGGGCAAGTGGATCAATTTTAAGATGGACAATGAAAAGCCGATCATGTCTCAAGTCCATAACTATGAGAATTTAGTGACTGAAATACTTGGTGAAGGCATGAAGATGTGTGAGACTCTTCAAGCCAATGTTCTCTTGGAGAAATTCCCTCCTTCTTGGAATGACTACCGAAATCTATTGAAGCACAAGAAGAAGGACATGACCCTCCAAGAACTCATTAGCCACATGAGAACCGAAGAAGGCAATCGCCTCAAGGATAAGTTTGAAACTTTGTCTCTTAATTCTTCCAAGGCTAACCTTGTTGAGTCTTCTTTGAATGTATCTTAAAACAGGAAATTCTTCAAGAAAAAGGGAAACAACAAGTCCAAAGTCAATTTCACTCATAACAACAAAATCCAAAAGTCTAACGTGACGTGCTATGTGTGTGGAGTCATAGGTCACAAAGCCTACCAATGCACCCGTAGGCATGAAGCTAAGAAAGATGGTTCTACCTCCCAAGCTAATCTTGTTGAAAAGGAGGACATCATTGTAGCAGTGGTGGTTGAAGCCAACTTGGTGGAGAACAAAGATGAGTGGGTTTTGGACACCGGAGCATCGAGACATTTTTGTGCAAACAAGGCTTTGATGACTGAGTTTGAAGATGTCACCGACGACGATCATGTCTACATGGGCAGTAGTAGTAGCGCCGGATTCCTTGGCAAAGGAAAGGTCCATCTCAAACTTACCTCCGGAAAAACTTTATTTTTGAATAATGTGTTGTATGTTCCCTCTCTTAGGAGAAATCTTGTTTCGGGATCCCTTCTCAACAAAGCTAGCCTAAAACTTATCTTTGAGGCCGACAAGATTGTAATGTCTAAAAATGGAGACTTTGTTGGGAAAGGTTACCTCAATAATGGTTTGTTTGTTTTGAATGTTATAAATGAGAATGGAAGTACTTCTTTTGCTTATATTGTTGAGTCTTTGGATGTTTGGCACAATCGTTTGGGACATTTAAATTCCTCTTATTTGAAAAAGTTAAAGGACATGAATTTGATTAATTATTCCCTGGAAGATAAACTTTACAATTGCCAAATTTGTGTTGAGGCCAAACATACTAAGAAGCCATTTAAGCAAGTGGTCTCAAGAAGTACAAAATTGCTTGAATTGATTCATTCGGATTTAGCGGACTTTAAAAATTGCACTAGTAGGGGTGGGAAAAACTATTATATTACTTTTGTTGATGATTTTTCTCGCTATACCAAAGTTTATTTGCTTAAAATAAAAGATGAAGCCGAAAGTGCATTTTTAAAGTACAAAGCCGAAGTTAAAAATCAATTGGACCTAAAAATCAAAAGAGTTAGGACCGATAGAGGTGGTGAATACGGCAAAGATTCTTTACAAGATTTTTGTGAAGGCAATGGCATCATACATGAAACAAGTCCACCTTACACACCCCAATCTAATGGTATTGCCGAAAGGAAAAATAAATCTGTAAAAGAGACTATGAATGTCATGCTTCTTAGTTCCGGTTTATCCGATAATTTATGGGGAGAGGTGGTTCTTTCCGCTTGTTATGTTCTCAATAAAATGCCCCATAAAAAATTGGATAAAATCCCCTGTGAACTTTGGAAGGGATATAGTCCAAATTTTAAAATTTTGAAAGTGTGGGGGTGTTTGGCTAAGGTGGCCTTTCTGGATTTAAAAAAAATCCACCATCGGGTCTAAAACTTTTGATTGTGTGTTCATTGGATATGCTCATAATAGTGCAGCCTATAGGTTCATGCTTTTAAGTGATAGATCAATTTGTGAAGCTAGAGATGCTGTATTTTTTGAGCATATTTTTCCTATGAACAAGTTTTTGTCTTCTAATGTTGATATGCAAACACATGATAACTTGTATGTTACCACACTTTCCTTTTGTTTGTTGTAAACTCAGTTTAATTAATGTAATTTCAGTCGTTTTCAAAATTAAAATTATAATAAATAAATAAATAAATAAATAATAAAAATACATACAAACAAATTATACAAGCTTTGGTGTGTGAAGATAGTATTTAAAAAATGGAAGTGTAAAGATAAACTAATACACCGTACTTTTTAAAACAGATTTAGTCTAAACCCTTGTAAGGTTTGTCCTGCCCCATAATTGAACGATCGTATAAAGACTCAGCCCATTTATTTATTAGACGGATCTAACACATTAATAACTGTAGCGGGTCATAGGGATCCAAGGCGTCCAACCCATTGAATTGCTCTCTCTCAGATATCCATTGAAGCGCATTCAACGTTCTCCATTGAAGCGCAGTTGACGTTCCCGTTGAATCTAGTTCTTGTATCCCCCATTGAAGCAGCTTCTGAGGTAAGTTGTTTGTATTTGTTATCATCATATCAAACATCCCTAAAATTATGAGATAATTGAATCAAATATTGCTAAAATGTATTGCACAACCTTTTAATGTTAGGATTCAACTATGAAATCAGAGCTCTTTTCCCTGGGCCCAGGTTTGCCGCCCCTCCTGCCCTGCCTCAGGGACAGGCCTAATTGTATTAGTTTCCTTAAATTTTTCTTAATTTCGCATTGATTCTTTTGAATGTGGATTTGTGTTGAGCACAAGTTATGAGAGTATAATTATATTGAGATATCTTATTGACCTTGTGCAATTGAGCTGCCATATCTTTGATTTAGTGAATACTTCTTAATTTTTGTTTCTGTTGTTTTGATCAATCATGCTTTAAATTATATTCTAGTAAATTGATGACATTGATTATATGGTTTATGTTAGCTCAATTATATTGTAGTCTGTTTAAATTTGTATTGTATTCAAAATTATTTGCTCGAAATTATATATATGGGGTCTTTTAGAACGTATGAGCATTAAAAAAAAAAAAAAAAAAAAAAAAAAAAAAAAAATAAAAAAAAAAAAAATTGGATAGGAACATTAAAGATGTGATAGTTTCAGTGGTAGTAGGAAAAAAAGGAAGGGATGTACAATGGGGCTTTACGAATTTTAAGTAATTGTGGTATAAGGGATTTCTTTCCTTAGTTATACCAAATGATAACTTCGATAAGAAAGGGAATTATGATTAAGGGGTATCTATGGTTATACTCTTATACCAAACAACTACTTAATGATAATAGTTAACATACCCTTTCCTCCTTTTATTTCCATTTCATTTCATTTTCAAGATGAATACCAAACATGCACTTACTGTATTCAATTTGTTTGTCTCAATAATTTTAGTTTGTTGATATGATTCTGCTTGTTAAGGTGTCTCAACATAAACCATGAACCATGAAAGAATCTTTCTAGTCATGCTGGTCCCGTCAGGTGCGACTGGCTAAGTCCATGAATCATGATTTGCTAGGTGCCTAGGTCCCTTTGCCAAGTCCATATCTTATTTGGTTCTGACAAATGGGTTTATAGTTGTTTGTACCTTCTCTTTGTAGCTATGCAATGTATTAACCTATATAACACGAGCTGAATATGTTTCTTTTATAGGAACACACTCCAGAAACAGATATGCTAGCTGACCATTCTAATGATGACCAAAAGTGCAAAATTAGAAGGCTAGATCTCGCTGACAAAAACAAAGGTTTTATAGAGCTGTTGCGTCAGCTGACAGTTTGCGACTCAGTCTCAGACAAGGAATTTGAGGATAGATTTAAGGAGCTTGCCTCTGAGGGGGATGACCATATTATATGTGTAGTAGAAGATAATGACACTGGAAAGATTGTAGCAACAGGAAGTGTATTCATTGAGAAGAAATTTATTAGAAATTGTGGTAAGGTTGGTCACATCGAAGATCTGGTAGTCGATGCTAATGCACGAGGGAAGCAATTGGGTAAGAAAATGATTGAGTTCCTCACTAAACATGCACGATCAATTGGATGCTACAAAGTTATCCTTGACTGTTCTACTGAGAACAAAGCGTTTTATGAGAAATGTGGATTTAAGGAAAAGGAAATTCAGATGGTCAAGTATTTCCCTTGGTGAGAGTTTTCCTTGTGTTTTCGTACTTCTTGCATATGTGTATGCTTTACTGCAATAATAGTTGGGCAGGCTGATTTTGACAGATTGTAATCATCGTACAACACTCCATGACTTCACCATTTGAGGGAATGGTCACAATTTTTGTACTTTGTATTATTTTAAAATACTCTAGTAATAAAATGACCAAATTCGAGTTCTGAATTTACTTGTTTATAAAAATAATTTAGCCAGCAAAAATATACTTCATTATTTTTTATCATGTCATATCCTCATTTACGAGGAATTGGGATAATGGGACAACTCCAACAAGTGGTGTATAATCGTGATTCCCTTGAACATATGGAGCGAAATTGAAAGGCAAGGGATTATACTACAATTCTGTCTTGGAAAGAGAACAAACTCTTGCACTTTCATGTGGATGTATGCAAATGTGTGATGCAGATACAAAGTGATTGTATGTTTCCACTTACTGTTTATTTGCAAATTCTTGAGAGTTTCACTTCCTAGGAATGAATAAGATTGGTGCATTAATTCATGATAGGTGCCTGTCATCTTGACAGAGAATCATACAATTCAAATCAGGCCTCTGCATCAGATAGAAGCACAAAGAAGCTTCAAAGAAAATTTTGGGTAGCGGAAGTCCCCCAAAAGTCTGTAATTTTGGGTGGTGAACAAAGAAAAATGTTACTCCGTATTCCAGTCAAGGATAGTTTGGCTTGTAGAGTCGTAGGGATACTCGAATTGACAGTCAGTGCCCAAAACGTGAGGAGGCAAGAGGAGGCAGTGAGCCACTTGCTTCTCAATGTTCTGCAGCAAAAAGTTTGGGGTACATTATTCCCCTTTTTGTTGATACTGGACAATGAATGAGCTTTCTATAGAATTGGTGTGATTCTGTGATAGTATCAACAAGGATAAGAACCGGTGGTGTATATTTTGGGTGATTTAAATAGTATGAATTTTGAAGGACAGCGCACGTACAGTTGGAGAAGGATGCAGTACAAGGAAAGAGGTAGCGCATAACCCCCCCAACAAACACACATAAGATCAATTCAGATGCTGCCATCCTGCCACTTTCAATGAAGGCTCTTGCAGCATTGGTGCTGTAAAGAAATAGTGTTGGAGATTTCATGTAGATTACACTTGCTCAAAGAAGAGGGAGCTTTTGGGATCTAGTGCATATTGCAAGGGCGCTGGCATCCTGTCATGGCCTTATTATTTCCTTCAAAGCTGGACTCCGGCACGCCATACTTGTAATTTAATGCAAGATGTATAGCCATTTCAAGAGAAATTTGTAAGAAGCATCAATTCTAGACATGTTTAAGACATTGTTAAGCTTGGTGCTAACTTTAATTCTCTCCTCCTATGTAAAACTGGAAATGGTAGCCCATAGTTTAGCAAGCTCAACGCCGATTATGAAGATTAGAGAGTGTGGACCAAAGTTCCCAAGAATTTGGATAGTGTGATTGGCAGCTTAAAAGTGAACAAAAAAAATAATAATAAATAAATGAAAGCAGGCTTGATTGTATAAAAGGGAATGAAATTGACAAAGGTAAAATGAGACTTTTATTTGAGGCAAAGTTTTATAAAAAAAAAAAAAAAAAAAATGAAACTTTTATTTTGGGAAAAAAGAAAGTACTAGAATATTCTAGTTAATCACCCAAAGAATCAGCTTAAATAGTGAATACATTGTTTCAAAAAAACAAAAATAGTGAATACATAAATATATATTGAATATCCAAAAGCGCATCAACTTTTACATATACACTGAAAATGTACAATCCTACTGCTAATAGAGCAACTTATTTTGCAAACTTGAGAGATTGCATCGATGTTAGTGAATTCATCGAGCATGTTCCACACAGCCCACCACCGTTCCACAGTAATTGCCTTCAGTCGTATAAACCGTACTGTACAGACTGACCATGTCCAAGCCAAAAGACAAGTATGAAGGCAACTAATTTTCTGGGACTCGGTTTTGACCAATGTCGACAAATACTGAACCAAACCAATAAGCTTTCTTTTCCTTTGCTAAAATACAAATATACTATCTGCATCACTCTACACCTTCTTGGACTAGCAAAAATAATACATTTACAGGTTACTACGTGTTTGTCAGTCTAACCTCTCAAGTTCTTCAAATCTTCTGGTCCATTCCCGCTCTTCATAGTCTTGCTCATCTAGACCCTTTTCTGTGCTGTATACAATCCTCTCCTTACCAATGAATGTTCTCTGTGCCATGTCCCTAGCACTCAAAAGCTGAATGATAATCACGTTAGCTTGTGAAAAATAAAAATTAAACACGTTAATAGTAATAATCACGTTAGTCAGCCAAGAACTAGAGACAAAACTAAACAGGTAAATTAACACAGGAGCTTAGAATAGGTGAAAACTGAACCATCAAATGGCCAAATATAGTTCTGCAGAAGCAAAATCATAAAGTTGCAATAGTAATGTTTTGATTGCAACTTAAGTAAGAAACACGGGGTGATATGATTGTGCTAGATCAAAAGACTTCAAAAAATCTAATAAAATAGTAATACCTGAAAGACCTTTACATACTCCTTCTGTCCTCAAATAATATTCTTGTAAGATTTGGAAACACGTATTTTGGTAAAGTGCGGTCAGAGTGTGAGGAAGAGAGAGTTAGTAGAAGGCTCCACTTCACATGGGTTGAGTGAAAAAAATTTCAATTTTAGTAACAAGAAGATTATTTAAATATCCTTAAATAATAAATGGAATATAGGCCGATTATTTGTGGCAAAATAAATTCTACAACAATCCACCAAAAGATCCTAAATAACATACTCCCTCCATATTTTATTTGCATTTTACTTGCTCCACTTTTCTTTCGCAGCTGTATTTTATTACTTGCTCCATTTCCTCCCCACTAGTGATCCCCTTATATTATATTTTAATATTTTTCATATTCTCTCTCCTCCTACCTATACTCACTTTTGCTTTTTCGGATTTTTTTTTTTTAATTTTTTTCAACCGACCCCACTTTCATAATATTTTATTACTTTCGACTATTGCTCCTAAAACTTCGCGCATGGAGAAATGGAACAAGTAATAAAATACGGAGGGAGTAATAAAGAATATCTAATTGAACTAGGACACCTAACAATAATAAAATACATCTTTTTTCTACATGTAAATTTCAAGTATAAAAGAACAAGTAAAACCATGTAGAACTAAACATTAAAAGGATAGGACTTATCCTAACTAGACCACTGGCCTAGTATTTTCCTAGAACATCAAGCGTCTTTTTACCACCTAATTACCCTCACATCATAATAGACATATAACTAATATAACCAACCCAAAACAACAACATATAGGTCACTCAAAAAAGATGATGAGGAAAGAGAGTTATCATATCAAGGGGCATATCTGCATATGTAACCATTAGAATATAGAAAGCACAAGCATACTAATAAAATCAACAACTCTAAGGCTATTAGCCTCTCATAGCATAAGAACATGAGGAAAGAGAGTTATCATTAGTAAAGACTTACAGAGAGGAAATCTACAACAAGGTTTTTTAATGTTGTCCATGACTTCTATGAATGTCAATATTGAACAAACGGAGCAAAATTGGCTCTTTGTTATTAATCTGGTAACTAGTACTAGGCCCAAGCAATGCTTCCGGTCAATACTTTGAATATTATCTATAAATGTACTAAAACAAAAGTTGCTGACATCATCATTGTCCACATGGAAGAATATCCTGAATTGATCCACAAGGGCTATTGTGGTGTTTCTATAGAATAAATGGGGCTAGTGTGTGGCCCTATGCTGGCAGAAAAGGTTCCTATAACAATTAGCAAAGCACCTCATCTCATAAAACCTTTAATAATCAGCAAATTTAGCCAAATTTCACCTAATTTCCACCTTTAACAAAAAGCAAGATACCAAGAGTTCCTAGATAAAGTATGAGAGCTTCTAGATAAAAATTTGTCAAGAAGATGCAGAAACACTCCCACAGACACATTCCTAGAGGTGTCAAGAAAGATCCAGCATAGAAGATTTTAGAAAACACTTCATGAAATAACTGAGATCTTCCACGTTAAATGATAAATTCAGCAAAACCATCTAGCAACGACATAAAATTCAATAATGATTATGATTGAACATGTGCACTGGAAAACTTACCTTGCGTCTTAGAGAAAGATCGGGTGATTCAAGTGCCCGAGCTCGTAGATTTCTCACTTGATTCCGTTTTTCTATTTCAGAATTTTTCTTGAGAGTCAATAACCAGCGAACCAAGGGTATTGCAAAGAAAGAGCCAGCATAAACCTACAAAGTTTACATTGAAAACAAACATATACTATTACAATAGAAAATTCCTCAGATCAACAAATTTCACTCAAGCAGATTTACTAATGTCAGGTGTAACTGGATCAACAAATTTCACTCAAGCAGTACTATAGAAGAAGATCAAGACAAACCTGAAGCGCAGGCAACAATGTCGAAGCTAATGAGAGGAATCCACTAGGTTTTACAGCCATGTCCCTTAATTTAAAAATAATATTGGAAGACTAGAAGTTAGAAAATGAAAATTAATTCAAAGAAGAGAGAACAATATTTTGATCGAGCCATACTTAAGCATGGTACTAAGAATAACCACACCAAACAAATTCAGTCCACCCAATCCAATGACCATTGCTCTCTCGGCAGCACTGGTTTTGCTGCAAGTATACAATGAAAAACTTAATTACTGCTAAACAGGCAGGGTAAGGTATCAGGTGTTCAGGTCCTCAACGCTAATGAAACATACCTGAATTGCCACTTATTTTCTTTGAAGAACTTTTGTATACCATCCATAATTGATGATCGTTTCCCAACATACTCTCTCCTTCCAGTCCTTGCCGAGGAAGCAGTTCGCTGAAGTGATGGAAATCTGTATAATATGTTTCCCTGCAAATGAACAGAAAAGTTGCAAGACAATTAACAAAATACCATAAGTCCAATGACACTAATGAAACCTACACCTAGCTTGGGTTATGCAAGACATCAAATGTATAATGCCTCTTTGCACAAAAACAATGAGAAACTCCTACCCTTAACCTCACAAAAGTCAGAATAGCATAGTTACCACCTCCATCGGCTCCATGGCTCAATTAGACCCTTAATCCAAAAGGTAATTTACTTGCACTACTACAGCAAACCTAATAAATAGCAATTTAGCTAGACATTTAATTTTATTGATTATGACCCAAACGTGAATAATCACACGTTAGACACTAAATCAAATTAATTAAGAGCGGATGGATTCATGTGGGCTAGGGTTTTCTGTTTTCGTGCTTATTTTCGGCCTATTTCGTTTTCTGTTTTGGGAGTGTCATCCTTAGGATTTAACCTAGCCACTGTTATGTAATTTGTACTATCTTCAAGATCAATAAAACTTTCCTCTCGCGTATCTGTGGATGTGGCTAACTCATCAACAGTGAACCACGTATTCTTTAATCTTTCTTGCATTTGTCATAACAATTAGAGAGCATGAATGGTAAATGGGATGATTTTTGGGTCAAGAAGATTGATGACAACTGTTTAATTTTGACCTTCCAATTCAAGTACATAGTCCCTATATCACCCAATTTTAGCCTAGGCATTTATCACTTCTCTGCATAGGTAAAAGGTATGTTCCTTCCTATTTTAACTCTTTTATTTAAGGTTCTTTTAGCTATTTTATTTATCGTCTTATAACTTTTTTTAGAATCAGGATTGCATTCAACAAGCAACTGCCTTCTTTCAATCTAATTTACCTATCCAAGTAATCCAACTTCATAAATGCTGTCATTTCTCTCTTTGTCAACATTGAAGTTGTGAAATACACACATGCTTAAGTCCCATTGCACCGTCTACAAAAGAGAGTTAAGTCCACGGTTGCAAGAGAGAAAGTGCCCCCAGAAAAGACCAAGTAAATTAATCCATCCATACCTTTTAAAAAGTTTTAGATAACTTTTATGAATAGTGTTTGGACAATTATACCCTCTATAAAATGTTTTTTACTTATTTGCCCTCATTAATGTCAATTGCCTTTTTTTTTTTAACTCTTAAGAATAGTGTACAGACATTTATTCCCCTAAAATAATTTTTTACATACTTTCTCTCATTAATGTTGTCAACAACTAAATTTGTGACATAAGGCCAAACCGAAATAGCTCCCCGGACATGGTTAGCTATCATGGTAGCAATTTTATAAAAATAGCACAGCTAAAATGTCAAATATAGAGTAATAATAAAGGGAGAAGACAGCAATATGAGTTCACGATTCAAACCTCTTCATCTACTTCTGGCTGACCATCAAACCGTAGAAGCACAGGTAATATATACGAGTCATCACTCTGAAAGGACAACGATGAAAGCTTAATCATCAACAATATGGTAAGTAGCAAAAGTTTATTTAGATAGAAAAACAAATGCCTCAGCAAGTTAGAAAATTCACTGCATGTCTGCATGTGCTTAAAGGCTCACTATTTTAATTAACAATATAAGCATATACACAGCTTAGGCAACTATTCAAATAGAATTAAGAAACAAAGCCTGGAACCTATTCCCTTTTTCAGATAATAAGCAGACAAAACCACTGGAAGAAGTTTTCAACATTGTAACTCTGTCACATCAACAAGTATTTAGAATTTTTAAACTCGAAGAATAGGGCTTGCGAAGATAGTAGTGAAAAAAAGTCCAGCTTCAAGAAAAAAACTGGAATATAATTATATGAAACCTTTTTTTGTTTATTGGTTGGTTTGGCTGTTCGAACTGCTGAGTATGGATCTCAAGCCTTTTCACTAGAGATATCTTCCTTACTGTAAAAAGGTGTTCTGACTTTTGAGTTCAGAGATAAATTTCACATGCCGAAGTCCCACCACAACTTAAACAGTCTCTTCCCCTTTAAATTTCCCCTTCTTCTCTTTCCCACAATTACCTTTCTTTGTCAAGATTTTTTAAAAGTTTGTATTCCATACATGGCATTCAGAAGGCACAGCGTACACAGCAAGGCAAAAATATCCACACAATCAATTCCAGCCTCCGACTTTGATCTCGTTTAAGAGTTTCCGTGTATTCTATTCCTCTTTCCATTCCTAACACTAAAGACTCTTACTAGAAGTGTACAACTATATTAAGGTACTAATGACTGTTTGCCCGAATAATTTTTGTAAGCAAATTATATATATGCAACAGTGAATCATTTTGATGGGGGAGGTAGGGAAATGAAGGAAGGTGTATGGCTGTTTGCCCGAATAATTTTTGTTAGCAAATGATACAAAATCCAACAGTGAATCATTTTGATGAGGGAGGTAGGGCAATGAAGGAAGGGCAAGAACTGTATTGATAATAGAGTTTCCATGAAGGTTTAGGAGCATATGATTTTCAAAGTTTTTAAGAAACAGAATTTGAGGTTTCTAACTTGAAGGTCCTGAATTTTAAGTTAGATGAATACAGATAGAATAACAACTTTCCAGTGACAGGAACATGATCACGCATGGCCATTTTGATTACATGAGCCTTAACTATTCAGGAAGAAGCTATTTCCGGAATTAAGTGTCACCAAAGCAAAAATTTACAGAAATCCAATACTCAAATAAACGATACTGGAGGTTACCTTTTCATTTTAAGTGCTATAATAGACAAAATGTAAGCATTTAGTATTCAATGTCTTTGTTTGCCTGAGGCATCATTATTTCCACTAATTTAATTTTCTTTGTACTTCTAAAAGCCTCTTTCATAGATTCATCTTAAATTAGAAAATTGGAACATGATGCATGTCAAGATTTTATCCTGCTGGCAGTAGCAGTAGCAGCAGCAACAACAACAAAAACAACAACAAATATATATAAAAAAATAATAAAAAATAAAAAATAAAAAACTTTATACTCGTTTAAGAGCACCCAGGAACCAACCTCTTCTTCTGTCAGCACATCCAGATAGGGTGCAAGTTCTTCAGCTGTAATCACTCCACCATTTGACGCTATGTACTGTCCTATCTGCCAAAATCATTAAATTGTAACATTAAAGCAGTAATAAGATGATCAAATGAAAACATATTTACATTAAATGAATCAATTGGACAAGCATATATTTTGACCTTAAATAAAAAGACCAGTATACCATCAATGCAAAAAGGACACTCAGGATAATAGAAAAATTGAAGGTTGAGTCACAGGCAAAAGGGTTAGGTTGTGCAAGGGCAGAGAAAGAGGAAATGAAAATTGAGAACAAAACAAAGTACTGAAGATCTACTCACTAACAAGTTCATCCATTAGTTTGCTGACTTGCTGGCATTAGCTCAACAACACTATATACTACGATTCATAATTCATATCATCACCGTGATATCAATCTTGGCCTCAAACCATGTCTTAACCAAATTTTATAGGTTTTTGAGCTTACTGTAACCAGGACATTAGCCAGCAACAGCCTCAAACCAGCTGTGTTGTCTGTAATTGTTCCGTGACTGTTACCACGATTGCAACAGCAAACAAGATTTTTGTCCATGATCATTACTATGAGAAGATACTGTTCATTACATATTTATCAGATGATTCAGATCTTATTAACCTTAAATCAGAGGTGATTTGGGGTTGAGAACTAACTAAGCTGAGAAGGTAAACCCTATGACCTTAGTAGCTTGACCTCTTCTCACATCAAGTCCTAGTTATTTGATCTTGCATCAAAGATCTTACTTTATAAGTCATGCTGCTAAAGTGCTAGATGTATCCTCCATTGAGACAAAAAGTTTGACAGAATGAACTCTAAGATAACAGATTTTCTTTTAACTTTTTTAGTACATTCTGCAATACTAGCATTAATCATTCACAATATATCTTGTAGACGTAATGATTGGTGTGGTTGGTGCCTATACAAATTCAGACATTCAGTACTAATGTCATATTTCATTAGCTCGATTCTGGAGCAACCTAACACAATGGCATCTGTCATCCCATGCCTGTATACATTGACTGTGCTTCAGGTCATTATTTTAAAAATTAAAGAAGATATAATTAAAAAAATAGAAAAATAAAGAGAGAGAGAGTAAGGAAAAAAACACACTATGGCAGTTAAAAAATGAATTTCTCAACAATGAAAACAAACATCACCCTTGACTTTAAAACCTAACATATTTATAAGATCTCTCAAAAATAAAAAACAACACCCCCCCCCCCCCCAATAAGCAAAAAGATAACTAGACTGAAAGATTGGGAGAAAAGCATTTACTAGTCTGACAGGAAGGAGTACCAACTCAGAACATGGATAACACAGCATAAAGCTTAGAAAGCAACTGATTACTAGATGCAATGCTAAAATATTACCAGCTTCCACCTCTCTTCTTCAATTCCTTGGTTTGGATCACCATCACCAAATACAAATGAGAAAACCTACAGCATAATGTCAAATAATTTAATGCTCAAACCCCTCTCCCCCAAAACATAAAGATGAAATATTTTCCACTATCAGAAAATTGAAGCATTATTCTGACTCACAGACTCAATGAAGTTCATGCCTTCATTATTCCCTCTTCTTTGAGTTCTCCTATAGTAATTTATATCAGTGTACCTAAAAGGAAAAACGGAAACAAAAATCTCAAAGAAGTTTCACCAGAAACAGACAAGTCTGAGATTTCTCAAGATAAAACAGAGAGCAAATATAAAGGGACATTCTCAGGGAAACTTCTCAAGCAATATAACCAAAAACGGATGGCAATCAATTAAAAGAAAACATTGAGCCATGATCCAAAGTTATTCTTGTTCAACAGATAGGAGAACAAGAAAGTACTCCATAGCAATAAAGCATAATTGATTGAAAGAACAAATCTTTACCAAAATAAATCTGCTGGGTTAACAAAGAAGCTGATATTTGGACCCGAACTAAATGATCTACCTCCTCGCCTCTTACGACTGTCGTCTTCACTGTCAAAACCAGTATGTATAGGAAGTTTGTCAGATCATGGTACTGGATTTGGGAATGACGATAATATGACAATGACTTGTGGACAAAACATTGAAAACATACCTTCCACTTGAGGCCGCTATAAGAATTGCTGTAAACACAAGAATAATTGAAGCAATTAATGTTGTCCCAAATGAAACCCTTATAAGATATTCAGCTCCAGACTGCCAAAAAAATTAGCAGAGGTGTTGACAAGAAGAAAAAAATCCAAAGAATAAACCTAAAAAATCATTGATTTCCATGATAATTAAAAGATAATAATACCTTTGCCTTATCAGCCCAGGGTTCAATTTTCATCCTGAAGGATTTACCCACAAGCCTTGAACGATAATCCTTTGGGAAAACATAGAGAACATCACCTTCATCTGAGACCTGTTAAGCATTTGCAATGAAAAAACTGAACATCAAGACCTATAAACGCCAAAGACATGCAATAAGATGACATTGACAATAATAATAGAAAATTTAAATTGTGGAATGGCTAGGAATAAATCACACAGAAAGATGAAGAGGTACAAATGAATCAGCAAAAAGTATATGCTGGGATTTTAGAGGACAAGTAGCAGTGCAAACTGCAAAGCGGCAAAGCATAAAATCACCACCAACCGAACAGGAAAGTCATACTTACATCAACAAAAACAGGTAATTGAGGATTTAATTAGGCAGTGAAATTTGCATCAAATGTGACTGTTCTTCATGCATGAGTATGAATTACCTTACATCAACAAAAACAGGTAATTGAGGATTTAATTAGGCGGTGAAAGTTGCATCAAGTGTGATTGTTCTTAATACATGGAGTGGCAAATTTTGATAAAGCATTAAATACCTAGCTGTCCAAAGAAAGAAAGAAATCAATAACACCATTTTGATACCTCCGGCTCCTTTAAGCTAAGGGAGTAATGCACTGACATCGCCTTGAGTAATAGACTTTACAAATTTTACTAATTGCTTTAATCACTTGACTGAACTGATCTAGTCGATTGTAACCCGAACTATGACTGAAAAACCTCCTTTGATGTTTACTAGTTCGTAGTCTCCTACCATCATTAGGCCTTTGATGTTTACTAGTTCGTAGTCTCCTACCATCATTAGGCGCGACTAGTGATAAACTGATAAATCGCCAATCGTGTAAAGCAAGCGCACAAAATTTCTCCTCACAAATTACAGTTTTACAATCACCCATTTAATTCAATTTGCTATTTTTACATTATATAATGAATAATCTCACAATTACAAACAACTAGCCACAAAATATATATGCCAAAATTTATAAAATATCATTCAATCAAACAAACAATTTAACAGATTAATGATTACAATAAGACTACTAGAAAATTAAATTAACTTCAAAATCAAATTCATATTCATAATTATACCTCTAAGAAACCCTCAGTATCAGCAGCAAGTGCTTGCAAAGCTTTCTGAGCTTCATTCAATTTAAGGCCAGCTTTGCTAGCAATATCACCAATAGTGACTCTTCCTCCAGAAGAATCAATGGCGTCCATAGCTCGCTTTCGAACATCGGACGGAAGTTTATCGCTCTCCACCAATTTCCCCGGCTTAAACGACGTCGCAACATCGATGCTACTACTGCTAGCTCTAATAGTCGTAATTCTAACCCTAGAATTCTTCCTCAGATTGCGCGACAAAACACGAGGAATTGACAATGGTAAGTTGAATCTTTGAAAGGAAGGATGATGGTGCTTGAATACGACATTAATGGCGGAAGAAGAAGATGAAGAAATGGGATTGATTGAGAAGTTTCTGGAGAGAGAAAAATGGCGGGATTTGGGAGTTGAAGAAAGACAGATTGAAATCATGGATGTCATTTGAAAGGTTGAATGAAGGAGAAAAGGGTTTGGTTTACATTACAGGTTCTTTTGAAGGTTTATTACAAAGGTTGAGTTGTGTTGGAAGTGTGATAATTTCATGATTTGGAGGTGAGTGGTTCACAAAGAGAAGAGTAGCCACTTTGAATCTTTTCATCCTACTTCAATTATGCCTTTGCTATTATAAGTAAAAGGCTTCAGTTCGTCTCCATATATGGGCCTTTTTTGTGGTAGTTTTTTAAGTAGCGGATAGCGTTTTGACTAGGTCAAAACACTATTAGGTAAAATTAGTGGTGTTTGAAAAAGTAGCGGGTAGTGGTTAGAAAGATTTTCTCAAACGTTAGAGAAACAAGCGTTTCCTCCAAAAAAAAGTAGCGGTGCAAGTTATAATATTCTGACTACTACTGTCATCAAGTCCAACAACTTTTCAAGTTTTCATCTTCTTTCAAATTCCTACATCATCAATATTGGATTGGTGATTATCATTGTTCAAGTAAGTATTCTCCTTAAATTTATCCCTCTCCTTGTTTCATTGATTTTTTTTTTTTATGAAATTTTTTGATTGAAATTCTGAATATATATATATATATATATATATATATATATATATAATTAATTCAATTCATCTTTTGGGAAAATTACACAAGATGATAAATTATAACCTTTGGTGCAATTTGATAGAATTTATTCTCGACTGATTTAATATATATATATATATTGAGAAACATATGTGATAATATTATTAGATTATCATGCATAAATGAATTATTAGATTGAAACTCTGTGAAATTCTCTCCGCTTATGGTGAAATTCAGCGAATTTATTTAGCTGCTATTTGTGATCCTTTTCTTGTTCTTTGAATCTCTTATCTACGTTAAATTGTTGATTTTGTGGTTATTTGTTTGATGGGTTGTTTGTCGATTTTGGTTAATAATGAGTGTTGAAATTGTGCTATTGATGAAAGTTTACAGTAAGATTATATGGGACCTATTAATGGAATGAATTTTATCTTGATTGATACATTCATGTAAAAAAAAATATATATATATAAATAAATTGAAGGGAAAAATTATAATGGAAGAAAGAAAAGGATAGGATCATATTCTATGTAAGATGTATAGGCACCCGCAAATTGTATTGTAGTTGAAATTATACAGAAATACAAGTTGTCAGGAGAAGCTATTACTCTTGTAGGGTTAGGTACATTAGTCATTAATCAATAGCTTGCATTGTTACATTGTAGAGTTAGGTACATTAATCATTATTATTGTAATTGAAATCATATAGCAATATCAATATATTGAATTTTGCATTTATTTTCATGTGATACCACTTATCATGATGATACCAAATTACCAATTATCATAATGATTTAATTATATTTTTTTATGTTAATTGTGTGAGAGGTTGACAACCATATTAATACTTGGTTGAATTATTGATGATTTTATGTGTTTGGTAGTTAGATGGCCTCATCGAGTAACAAAAGAATAACAAAGGATAATGGGAAGGCACAATTTTTTAGGTGGAGTGACAAGGATTCAATCATCCTATGTGAAGTTTGTCTTGCATTTATAAATGATAATGAGAAGGCACAATTTTTTAGGTGGAAGGAAATTCAAACGGATGTCGAAAAAAAATTCGGTCGTGAATTAAGTAATCCAAATACTTGCAAGAACAAATATGATACAATGAGAAAAGATTGGCGTAATTGGAAAAAGTTAAAACAATCGGAGACGGGTATAGGATGGGATCCAGAGTCGGGAAAAATTGACGCTACAAATGAATAGTGGCAAAGAAAAATCAAGGTATGTATAATTCACAATTTAATTTATTATATAGTCTTTATATTAACAATTATAGTATGAAATTATTTTTAATAAAATTTTAATTTTTATAATAATTTAATGTAGGAAAATTCAGAATTTCAAAAGTTTTAACTAAGGGGTGTAAACTTGGAGCTTGAAAAAAAGTGGGAACAATTGTTTGGAGATTCTTATGCAGTAGGAGATAGTGTTTATGTGCCCTCAATAGACCCCATTGAAGATCTTACCATACAAAATGAAAATTTAGAGGAAGGGAACTTTGAAAATGATGGTGGCGATACCTATTTTCCAAGTGACCAATATGCTCAAGATTTACTTAATGATGAGGGGAATTTTTTTTCAACATTTTATAGAGCAAAGCACGTAATGATGCAAATTTAGGTAGTTCGGGAAGTAGGTCATCACAAGTGACTCGTGAAGCTGCAAACAATGAAACTCATTCTTCTAGTAAGATTCAAAAGCAGCCTCCATTAAAGTCTAATAGTGGTCAAGTGAAACATACAAGAAGACAATCAGCAGGATCTACAATGTTATCTAAGGGAATTATTGAAATGACAGAATGTGTTAAACAAATTAGTCAAAGTAGTACATCAAACGTGTCCACGATTTCTACACCAATGAATACCATTAGTCGTATTATGGAACATGAGTATTTGGAGAAACATAGTGAGTTTTGGTGCTTTGCTACTACTGTCATTGGAGATGCAACTAAAAGAGAGATTTTTTTTAGTATGGCGGATGATGATAGTAGAGCTAAGTGGTAAGAATATCTATATATATATTAAGGGTAATAACTAGGAGTAGTTTAGGAATCAATGTTTTGTTTGCTCTAGTGGTAAAATAAAAATGTAGATGAGAGTGGCGGATAGCTCAGTTGGTAAGAGCTTTCCTCCCGGTTCCAGGTGATCCTGGGATCGATTCTTATCCCCGCCCTAGTGGCTCATATGAACCAAAAAAAAAATAAAAAAAATGTAGATTTGTTCTTTGTGAAATATTTGGATTATTTGTGTTATGTGTGTTTTTCCTAGAGAAGTTTTTCAGTATTTTTTATGATAGTTTTATTCATGACTTATTTTTATAATTGACAGGATTGTTATTAATATGGATATTGATGAGGAAAGAATGCGCAAACTTTGTATTGCAATTGCATTTACAATATATATGACGTCTACATATTTTTATAAATACATGTATAAAGAACCATGCATGACTACAATCCTAACAGGAGAGATGTGGGTAAAAGAAATGTTGATTGGCAATCCTATTCGATGTGTCAATGCATTTAGAATGGAGCCACAATTATTTTTAAGATTAAGTAATGATCTATCATCGAAATATGGACTAAACTCTAGTTGTAATATGTCTATTCGTGAGAAAGTTGGTATTTTTTTAAATGCAATTGCTCAAGGTGCCTCAAATAGAGTTCTTGGTGAGCGTTTTCAACGTTCTAGTGAAGCTATAAGTAGGGCAATTTATGATGTCCTCAATTCAATTTCTTGTCGAAAAATCAAGGGGCTTGCATATGATATTATAAGACCGTATGATCCAACTTTTACACGTGTGCCGGAAAAAATAACAAAAGATTCAAGATAGATGCCTTACTTCAAGGTAATTTTTTTTTCATTTTTGTAGTGTTGTCATCATGTAAAGTTTTAATATGAAGACTAATATTGATTATATTTCAGGATTGTATTGGATGTATTGATGGTACACATATAGAGGCATGTATACCAGAGGCCCTACAAATGCCTTATAGAGGAAGAAAAGGAATTCTTACATTTAATGTATTAGCTACCTGTGATTTTGATATGTGTTTCACGTTTGTATCAGTGGGTTGGGAAGGTTCCGCGCATGATACTTGTGTATTTCTTCATGCAATTGAATCTCCAGCTTTTGAGTTTCCTAAACCGCCTGAAGGTGTGTATAAATTCTTTTAATTTATATTATATATTATCTCTAGGTAATTAATTAGGTGGTTTATGTTAATGTTATTTATCTTTATATTATGATAGGTAAGTACTATTTGGCTGACAAAGGGTATCCAGATCGAAAAGGTTATTTTGTACCATATCCGAAGACAAGATATCATAAGTCACAATTTGAATACGAGCCTCCAAAAAATGATCGTGAAACTTTTAATCGTTGGCACTCGTCTCTTCGAAGTTGCATTGAGAGATATTTTGGAGTTTTGTAGCAAGGGTGGAAGATACTAAGAAGTATGCCACAATTTATTAGCATTGAGACACAAATAAGGATTGTGGTTGCAACATTCACTACATAACTATATCCGAATAAATTCTCCAGAAGATCCCCTTTTTCGAGTGTTAGAGGATTATCCTAATTTTATACCTTCTTGTGAGCTTCCTGATGTTCGTGTTACTTCGCATGGTCAAAATAGCATAGAAAGTTGTACTGAAATGAAAATCCTTCGTGACAAAATAGCAGCTACTTTATGGAAGGCGAGAAATGAGTGACGTCGGTTATTATAAGAAACACTAGTATTCTCTTTTATGGAATTGCTTTTATTTTTTTATATTAATTATTGTTTTTTATGATGAGGACAAATGTTTTTTTTTTATACTAGTACCTATGTAATTTTTCATATTATTATTATTATTATTATATTTATGACTTTAAATTACTGATTTTATAATAAATTAATAATTTAATTAATAAGTTTAATAAATTTTATTGTTTTTACATAATCCAACCGCTAGTTTTACCAAACACTCATACTATCAACCGCTACTTTGACAGCTAACCTTCACCCGCTACTTGTTGACACCTACCCTCTACTCAACAACTACCCGCTACCCTCTACCGCTAGTATTGCCAAACATACCCATAGTTTAACTCCGTAAGTAATTTTGGATAATTTGGGAAATAAATGTATGATAATTATAGTATATATAGTATGAGTAATATATAAAGTGAAAGGGAGTTTTGGGTGATAGATTTTACTTTCCCAAAATACCCCTTTCATCTTCTATTTTTTGTAAAAAAAAACTACCATCATTTAAAAAATATAACCACACCATTTTTATTCAAAAAAAATACCTTCATTTAATATCCTACTATTAACCTCCATGACTTCATCAATTTATTATAAACCAACTATTTTTTTTAATTAGAATAAGATAGATAATATTTTTAAAAAAAAAAAAATCGAGCCATGCATATAGATTTCTTATATTGCACACGCAATTAGCGTGTGTCTCACAGCTTGTTTATTTAAAAGTTAAGTTATCTATTTATTCAGCCCGCAAAATAGTTACCTATGAATTAAAAAAAATAATAATAAATAAATAAATAAATTTCTACCCACTATCCCACTACTTCA